TCTCTCTCTCTCTCTTTCTCTCTCTCTCTCTCTCTCTCTCTCTCTATCTCTCTCTCTCTCTCTGTCTCTTTCTCTCTCTCGCTCTCTTTCTCTCTTGCTTACATTCTTTCTCTTTGTTTCCCTCGCTCTCTCCCTCTCTCTCGCGCTCTCTCTTTCTCTCTCTTTGTATCTCTCACCCCTCTCTCTCATGCATCTGTTGTCGCTGTAGTTCTGAGGACGTCGGGCTGTTTGCGCTTGACACGATAGCCGACGATGAACTGAAGCTGGAAGCCACCATCTCCATCCAGTCACGTGCTACCGAGCATGGCTTCGCTCTGTCCGACATAGAACTACAGGACCTCATACAGATGAAGGCTGAATCGCTGGAGGCAGAGCTAGGATACAGGGTACCGTGTCTATATCGCTGCGTGTGCATGTGTATAGTACAGAGATAATGTAACGTTGAATTAAAGGTTTGTTGAATAAATGATATAGAAGGATTCCACTTAAAGGAACTGCTGCTGCTGCCGGTTAAATGCGGTGTTGTTTATGTATTTAAATGAGAAGAATTTACGTGTATAGATCATTTATATGATTTTATCAATATTGTATGCAATTGTATCGATAATGTATACAATTATAGCGATGGTGGATGTGATATGAGGTGTGGTCTTTTTGACAAATTCGCCGTTGGCTGTTGCTTTTCACGCTAATATTTAAGATCCATAGTTTATAGTGTTACGTGGTTTTGGTTATATGTTTGTTCCACATTTACGCGTTATGCTTAGTATGTGACAATCCCCAATGTTATTACTGTTATTACTGTTAATTTAGTTTAGTGATTAAGCAATGATTCTCATAGCGCGACAAGGTAAATAAGTGTGCAATACACGTACGTCCACGCACGCACGCACGCGCGCACGTACGCACGCACGCACGCACGCGTGCAGGTGTATGAAGGATATGTTGTCGATGTTTATAACATAATCGTGTCACCGTGTGTGTCCCAGGTGTACGTGCATCATACGGAGAAGAAGGCGTGGGAGTCGCTGCCCACCTGGGCGTTGTTCACAATTGTCATGATGGTTGTTCTATTCACTCTCTTCCTCATCGTCCTCATCTACTCCGGCCGCAAGAGAATGCAGAGGTGCGTAGAGAAGCTCTGTGATATATATATATATATATA